AGGGAGAAGAAAAGGGGAGAAAAGAAAGGGAGGGAGGGAGGGAGGGAAAAGAAGGAAGGATGGACGAAAGAGTGGAAGGGAATTGAGAAAGGGAGAAAGAGGGAAGGGAGGAAAGAGAAGGAAGGAAAGACAAAATACAGGGAAGGAAGGAGGTAAGGATGGAAGGGAGTAAGGGAAGGGAGGGAGGAAAGAGAAGGAAGGAAAGACAAAAGGAAGGAAGGAGAAAAACAGATAGAGGAAAGGAGGGCGAAAGGAAGGACAAAAGGGTGGAAGGGAAAGAAGGGGGAAGGAGAAAGAAGGAGAGAGGAGAGCCTGAAAAAGGAGCCCAAGGGGCCGCATCTGGCCCCCAGGCCTGGGTTTGCCCATTTCTGACCTAGAAGAATCCTCCACAAGCAACTCCGTATCTGCATGCTTGCTCACCATGCCCTGCCTCATGAACACAGGAGGAATTCTTTAAAGCTACAGACAATGCGGTCGCTGTTGCCCGTTTTTGGTCTAAAATTATGTAGTCCCTTGTGCTTCCTCTATTCTGTCAGTTTTATACTTGTTTATTTATGCAATGCTTTTGACACAAAATAATAATAATCTGGAACGATTTGCAGAATGCACAATCTCGGTTCATAGATAGGTACAGCAGTACTAAAAGGTATAGGCAGATCTCATACCTGGGTTAAAGCATTGATTTCTATGTCAATGTTTGTCAGGCATTTGTCCAACATTTCCTTCAGTCGGTTGACACAGTCAATCCTTTCATTGAGGCGTGTGCGGTTGTCGTGCTCATCCCATATTGTCTGGAGAGGTAAGACAGGCAAGCAGTTAGAATAATATTCGAAAAGGCCTCCAGTTCCTACTCAGAGAAGAAAGTATATCATATTCTCAAAGTTCAGCTTGCCTCTCTTGACATGTTTTATCCTACATGCAGACAGTTAATATACACATGCCAGCAAGTGACAATAATAATAATAATAATAATAATAATAGCAAGTTCAAGGTGGTCCCAGTGGTGATCGGCACACTGGGTGCAGTGCCTAAAGACCTTGGCCTGCACTTAAACACAATTGGCGCGGACAAAATTACCATCTGCCAGCTGCAAAAGGCCACCTTACTGGGATCTGCACGCATTATTCACTGATACATCACACAGTCCTAGACACTTGGGAAGTGTCCGACGTGTGATCCAATTCAACAGCCAACAGAGTGTCTGCTGTGGACTCATCTTGTGTTTCAAATAATAATAATAATAATAATAATAATAATAATAATAATAATAATAATATATTTATTTGACCAGTCATATGACCATTTCAAAATAGAACAGGAGTAAAAAAAAACAAGGCAAAAAGGTGAGGACAGCAGCTGACCTATTTACAGCCAGAGTCTTATTTCAGGAAATCTGCTCTTTTCTTGATAGCTTTCATGCCAGAAAGTGACATAAATCAGACATTACAAATAGTAAAGGTAAAGGTTTGCCCTTCACATTAGGTTTAGTCGTGTCCGTCTCTGGCGGGTGGCACTCATCGCCATTTCTAAACCAAAAAGCTGGCGTTGTCCATAGACACCTCCAAGGTCATGTGGCTAGCATGACTGCATGGAGCGCCATTACCTCCCTGCAGAAGCAGTTCCTATTGACAATACATTGGTATCTATTGAACTACTGACATTTGCATGTTTTGGAATTGCTACATTGGCAGAAGCTGGGGCTAACAGAGGGAGCTCACTCCGCTCCCCAGATTTGAGCTGCCAGTTTTACAGTCAGCAAGTTCAGCAGCTCAGCGGTTTAGTCCATTGCACCACCCATGACATTAGGAATGGGAATACTCATAAACAAGTTGCCGAATACTTCCCGGGCATCCCATCTATTTGCCTTTCTGCTGAGTTTCTGGGATCATTCCAATCCTATTGTCCCACCTAGGAGTAACGAAAGATTGTCAGAGATTGATGATACCCAGCGGAAGGAATGCTAGATCAAGCAGACACTGAGTTGCAAAATAAGGACTCTGCAGGCTTTGAGTTACAAAAGAAACTAAGTTTACTAAGTACGTACATCAGACACGTCTTTCTACAGCGAGCTACAATTTAGGACTAGTCAAAACCGAAAGCCTCTTCACATCTGCTTATCTTCTCTTGCTGAGACTGGCAACTCCCTTCTGTTCTCAGCAAGAGCAACCCTTACCTTACTTTTTCAAGTTCACTTCATCACAGCCTCAAAGTATAAACATTCCTGCATGACATTTTCAATTCACAGTAGCATCCATCTCGGCAATACATAGAAGCACATGTATTGAAAAACACATATATAACTAAATTAATCCTGACAAAGAGCTGATATTTCAGTCCTAACCAACACACATTGATGCTGACACAAGGTAGAAGGGCTGGAATGCGCCACTCACCTGGTTGTTCGTTTCATTACGAAGAGCCCGGGCCTCTTGTCGGATCTGGTGAGAAGCAATGCGCTGGCGCTCAGCATTGCTCACAAGGAGCTCACGGTTCATGCGCCAGTCAGGGAATGTGAACCTCTGGCCTGGCTTCATGCTCAGAGTCGCCATGGCTGCTTCCTGCGAGGAGACAACGGAACTAGTGAGAGATGCAGGAGTGCAAGAATTCTTATGACTGCAAAGGATGGAGCTTTTAAGGATGGCCGTTATACTTCCATTTTATTACGTACTAACTTGAGTACCTGACGCCGCCCAGATTAATCGAAAAAGGCATTGTTTATTTTGGAATATTAGGTAATATAATTTAGTTAATTAGTAACACTATTTATTAGAAAAAAAACACATTTTGATTTCACTGTTTATAAATGCTCCCATTAGAAAATATATAAAGATGTGGGTGAACTACTATTTCCGGAGTTGTGGGTCACTCCTCCCCAAACCAGGCCTGTATTCACAGTTGGCCATGTTGGGTCTGTGTGCCAAGTGTGGTCCAGATCCGACGTTGGCTGGGTTCTGTGCTCTCTGGGTGCAGGTGAACTACAACTCACGCAATCAAGGTCAATTCCCACAAAGCCCTGAAGTATGTTCAGTTGGTCATTGGACTTCTCTGCGCCAAGTTTGGTCTCAGTCCATTGTTGGCATGGGTCACAGTTTCTTTGGATACAGGTTACTACAACTCCCGCAATCAAGGTCAATTCCTACAAAGCCCTGAAGTATGTTCAGTTGGTCATTGGACTTCTCTGTGCCAAGTTTGGTCACAGTCCATTGTTGGCGTGGGTCACAGTTTCTTTGGATACAGGTGAACTACAACTGCCGCAATCAAGGTCAGTTCCCACAAAGCCCTGCCAGTTGGTCATTGGACTTCTCTGTGCCAAGTTTGGTCTCAGACAGTCCATTGTTGGCGTGGGTCACAGTTTCTTTGGATACAGGTGAACTACAACTCCCGCAATCAAGGTCAGTTCCCACAAAGCCCTGAAGTATGTTCAGTTGGTCATTGGACTTCTCTGTGCCAAGTTTGGTCTCAGTCCATTGTTGGTGTGGGTCACAGTTTCTTTGGATACAGGTGAACTACAGCTCCCACAATCAAGGTCAACTCCCACAAAGCCCTGAAGTATGTTCAGTTGGTCATTGGACTTCTCTGTGCCAAGTTTGGTCTCAGACAGTCCATTGTTGGCGTGGGTCACAGTTTCTTTGGATACAGGTGAACTACAACTCCCGCAATCAAAGTCAACTCCCACAAAGCCCTGAAGTATGTTCAGTTGGTCATTGGACTTCTCTGTGCCAAGTTTGGTCTTAGTCCATTGTCAATGTGGGTCATAGTTTCTTTGGTTACAGGTGAACTACAACTCCCAGATTCCCAGGGCAATCACCCCCAAACTCCGCCTGTACTCACAGTTGGGCATGTTGGGTCTGTGTGCCAAGTGTGGTCCTGATCTGACGTCGGCTGGGTTTCAGTGCTCTCTGGGTGCAGGTGAACTACAACTCACGCAATCAAGGTCAATTCTCACAAATCCCTGAAGTATGTTTAGTTGGTCATTGGACTTCTCTGTGCAAAGTTTGGTCTCAGTCCATTGTCGATGTGGGTCATAGTTTCTTTGGTTACAGGTGAACTACAACTCCCAGATTCCTAGGGCAATCACCCCCAAACTCCGCCTGTACTCACAGTTGGGCATGTTGGGTCTGTGTGCCAAGTTTGGTCAAGATCTGTCATTGATGGGGTTTAGAGTGCTCTGGGTGTAGGGTGAACTACAACTCCCATGTGGGTGGGTCATTTACCTCCACCCCCACCTCTCCAATATGTTCTGTTGGTCATCGGGGTTCTGTGTGCCACGTGTGCTCCGCCACTGAGGGCTTCAGAATGCTCTCTGGGTGCAGAGTGAACTACAACTCCCACGTGAGTGGGTTAGTCCTCCCCCAAATTCATTCAATATGTTCAGTTGGTCACCAGGGTACTTTGTGCTATGTTTGGTCCAGATCTGTCATTGGTGGGGTTCAGAGTGCTCTGGAGGCAGGTTGAACTACTGATGAAGTCGAACATGACCCCCCTCCCCATAAAAGATAGTAACTTATAGTTTTGCTAAGGACAAGGACACCAGACTGGATAATAAGGGTTAAGACTTGGTCAATTTGCCAAGACACTAACAACAAGGACCCTTCCCATGTTAGACAGTGTGTACATTTAATCAAGGTTTTATGCCCTAGGTTTCATATATAGCAGAAGGTAACACATTTATTACTGAGAAATCACCTCCCTTTACACTTATGTGCTCTCTTGAACTTCTATGGGACTCTAGTGGGAGAGATAAGTGGGTATGTTTTCGATATCACGATTTCTATATTTCTCTATTTCTCTCTGTGTGCCTGACCATTTCCTGACCCTTTTGCCCAATTCCCCTTTATTGAAAAATGTATAAAAATATAAGAAGCCACTCCTGTGACCCTAGAAAGGAGGAAATCCTCAGTTGGAAAAGACTCTTATCAAAACACACTATTTGCATGGACAATAACAAAGGATCGTGACCTCTGGCCTCGGAGTTGGCCCCCCAGAGGAAGCAGTCACTTGGCATTTATGATCATATCTCAATAGGACAAAGGAAGCCTTCGGAAAGCCACACCTTGTCCTAATCTGTTACTGATTCAACTTTTATCCACTGAAACCACAGCCAAAATTCCCTCATTGTTCCTGTCTCTCAGCACTGGAAAAATCCAGATTATGGCAGGTTTGACAGCCATCAACGTCCATTGCAGCCACTCAAAGACAATAGCAAAGGCTGGCTTGCAGCCCCCCCCCCCCACTAGCCGCTTAGACATTTCCTACTTCCATGATCCTCTCAAGAATCCATTGTTTCCCTCTCGTTCCACTTCCCTCTCTCCTGATTCGTCAGGACGCTGAGGCGGCAGAAGCCCAGTGATTGGCCCATGCACTCAGGAGGAGGCCAAGCCTCCTCCCAGCTGAAAAGCGCCAGCCAATCATCGTTGAGCCAGCAGAGGGGCGGGGAATGGGAGATTCAAACCTGGAGGCTGTTTTATGTATAAAAAGGCCTTTATTTTTGTACACTGTATGCTTAGCTTGGCGAAATATTGCTGCTTTGCATCCTTTTCAGCTGAATCGCAATAAAATCATCTTGGTGGCGCTTCCTTCAAATTTGGTGAGATTTCTTTTGGAAACTTAGAAAAAACCTTTTAAATTGGGCTTCTCTTTGCTCACCATTGTAGCGAGCCCTCTTTGGTGGGTCCGCAGGGTCTCTCCTTCAGGGCCAGACCCTTTTAAATTCCTCCATGATTTCACTGAGAAGGCCCTGTCTCTCATTCCCGCCAGTCACATCTGCGAAGGAGGCAGGACCGAGAGCAGGGCCTTTCCAGATGATCTTAAAGACCTAGATGGTTCACAGAGAGAGATGCATTCGAACAGGTAAGCTGGGCCGGAACCGTTTAGGGCTTTACAGGCTAAAGCCAGTACTTTGAATTGTGCCCGGTAGCAAACTGGCAGCCAGTGGAGTTGGCGCAACAGAGGGGTTGTACACTCCCTGAGCGCCACTCCTGTTAATAACCTGGCTGCTGCCCGTTGGACCATTTGAAGCTTCCGAGCAGTCTTCAAGGGCAGCCCCACGTAGAGCGTGTTGCAGTAGTCTTAATACAGTTCCTCATGTTGTGGTGACCCCCAACCATAAAATTATTTTCGTTGCTACTTCATAACTGCTACCGTTATGAAATGTAATGTAAATATCTGACATGCAGGATGTATTTTCATTTGCTGGACCAAATTTCATAGAATCATAGAATCAAAGAGTTGGAAGAGACCTCATGGGCCATCCAGTCCAACCCCCTGCC